CACATGTATATACAATCACTTGTATAAACACATAGACACATGAATGCATGCATGGTGTATACACTCCCATGGACCTGTACACACGTTTAGCCACACAGTCATGTGTGTGCATATACACATATGCATCTGTACTCACACATTTGCTCATATGAACACATGCACACACCTACATAACATAGTCACCGTAAGCCTGTACATACAAACGCTCCCACACATGTACACATGTATTTATATATACATGCATATGTACTCAGGCACACATGAACATGTATACAGGAATGCATGAGCATGTACACAGGCACACATATATACACATGCACATGTGTGTACACACTGACACATGTGCACATGCACTCCACTACATATTCCCCTCTCTGCTCTTGGCCCTGTTGCCCTCCAGCCCAGTCAAAACCCCACCCATTCTCAGCACCCACTGGTTTCCTAGACAACCAGCACAGAACTACCACATGGGATGGAGAGAACCAGAGCAACTCAGCAATACTCGGAATGAGCAGTCCTCTGGCCCGTTGATGGCTATGCGTTGCATCTCACTTACCCTTTCTAGCCCTGGCATACATGTGACCTGAGCATGAATGTCCCAGGGGTAGTCAGACATCCATGTGTCCCTCCACAGTGATCTGAGCCCTGGGCACCTCCCCCAGTTATAGAAGGCCAACATACCTGAGCTCCTTCACCTGGCCCCTGGGGTCCTGGTCACCTGTCACTTGGGTCTCTTTCTAATCCCTGCCCTTAGGTCACAAGATCTGGCCTTTGTGGTCCCTGCACAGGGTCACATCTGGGCACCTTTGCTCTTGACATGAAGTGTGATGCAGGTGTGCACAGCTTGGCTGGACCAGTCCCCAGCACAGCCAGTGCTCCATGCTCATGAGTACTGACTCCAGAACCCTGGACTGGGGTTATTTGCATGATGGGGCCTTTGGTTAGTTCAGCAAGCCCTGATGAATGGGAAGCCATGGCTGGAACTGACTGCATAAATTTAGTGATGCTTAGAGGAGAAAGCCATTCCACTTGTGGAACCAAAGTCTAAAATCAAGGGCTGTGTCTGGTGAAAAGCCCTCCCACTCCTGGGACTCTGCCTTACCCACAGGTGGCACAGGGTAGCGAGTGGTGAGGCTGGGCAAGCTGCTAGCTCAGGTCTCCCTTTTTATTCTTAGGAAGCCACTTAGCATCTCATGAGGGCCCCACCCTCATGACCTCACGTAACTCTTATCTGCCCTAGACAATAAGTCAGGAGGACAATTCAGAGAAACAAGGTAATGCCCTGTCCTGGAGTCCTGAGGACAGCACAGGATATGTCCCTGAGCCAGCCTTCAGGCAGAGAAGGAAGGTACTGGTTCTGGTGCTGATTTGAGCCTGGGTGACATGGAGTGGGCATGCGATTTGGTCTCGGTGATGGCATCCATCAAATCCACCCAGTCACCCCTCTCTCCCAGTGAACAGATGCTCACAGGTCATGCAGGCATGTTGGAATTCAGGCAGTGACAGTATGGGAGTCACTGGTATAAACAGAGTGGTGGCCCGTTCACTGTCTTACGTCTGCAGTTCATCATGTTCCCTCTTAGTCTGTCCTCTGTACACACAGGGTGTTCTAGTTGAATTCCGTTGCTGTGATGAAACTATTACCAAAAGCAACTGGCGGGGGGAGTATTTCATTTTAAACTTGCAGGTCACCATGCATCACTGAGGGAAATCAGGGCAGGAACTCAAGGCAGAGACCAGGAGCCACGCTTCTCGCTATTCCATGCAGTGTTACCTCTGACCAGAGAACTCACTCACAGCCAAGGCATTGCAGCAGAAACCCTGGAGGAAGCTGCTTGCTTACTCACTCTCAGATTCATGCTCAGCCAGCTTTCTTATACAAACCAAGACCACCTGCCCAGGAAACGGTGTTGCCCATGGTGGCCTGAGCCCTCCTACACCAATTAAGACAACCAAGACAAACCCTTACAGACATGTCCACAGACCAACCTGGTAAGGACGATTACTCAACTAAGGCTCTTGCAGGTGATTCTAGACTGCGCCACATCGATGATTAATGCTAAATCTGAGTGACAAATTTATATCCCTGACAACTTCACTTTGGGCCATCAGTTTACCATTCAATAAGAGTGTGTTTCCCAATGAAAGCATGAAATTTGCAGGCAAATGGATGGAACTAGAAAAAAATCATCCTGAGTGAGGTAACCCAAACCCAGAAAGACAGTTATGGTATGTACTCACTCATTGGTGGATTCTAGATATAAAATAAAGAACAGTCAGACCACAACCCATAGAACCATAGAGGCTATATATATAGCATGGAGGTCCCTAGGACGACTGTGGCATATAATAAATTTCAGTTTTACTCAATTATTGAAAAAAAACAGCCAAATGAATGGAAACACATGAACTATGAATCAAAGGCTGAGGAGCTCCCAGCTGGATCAGGCCCTCTGAATAGGTGAGACAGTTGATTGGCTTGATCAGTTTGGGAGGCAACTAGGCAGTGGGACCAAGTCCTGTGCTCATTGCATGAGTTGGCTGTCTGAAACCTGGAACTTATGCAGGGACACTTGGCTTAGTCTGGGAGGAAGGGACTGGACCTCCCTGGACTGAATCTACCAAGTTGATCACAGTCCTCGGGGGAGGACTTGTCCTGGAGGAGGTGGGAATGGAGGGTGGGCTGGGGGTAAGGGGAGGGCGTGGGAGGGGGGAGAATAGGGGAACCCATGGCTGATATGTAGGACTGAATGATATTGTAAAATAAAAAATATATATCAAAAAAAAAAAGAGTGTGTTTCCTAAAACTTAAATTGCTTTTTTTTGTTTGTTTGTTTGCAAAATGCCATTGCTTTCGGCTTTCATTGTGAGGGGATGTTCTGACAGTTGTTGACACATTTTTGTTGATGGCTTCATGCTGTGTGGCTTCAATACTAGACCAAGTAGTGGCTGATCAGAGATGTAATGTACACAGCCTGACATTTAAGCTACCAAGATGCCTTCAACTTTAACTTAAATAAGAGAGTGCCCCTGTGAGGGGGCCCACAGTCCAGAGCAGGCTTTCAAATGATAACACTAGCACTATAAAGGGGCTGAGTGGCTGCTGAGCTGTGTGTGCACCCCTAACTGGGTTTCCATGGTGGCATTTGACGGGGTACCCCAGTGAGGCCTGGTACACAGAAGCCCTTGGTGAGTGTCCGTGAAGAGAGCGGTGACAATGTCATGGCTGCAGGAGGCGTAGTAAGCAGGAGCCTTGGGTGCTCGTGACAGAGGAGCGGGTGGAGAGTGTGGAGACACAAGTGTGAGCCAGTCCTGGGACCCCTGCTGCCCCACCTGTCGGTGAAGGGAGGCAGCAGGAGCTGCTGGAACAAAGAAGCCCCAAAGTGCGACCCAGTGTGACAGAAGTTTGATTTTTTTCCCCCTCATGTAGCGTACAATATATACTTCCACCCACTGTGACACACAGAGGCCCAGGCTGTGTGTGTGTGTGTGTGTGTGTGTGTGTGTGTGTGTGTGTGTGTGTGTGTGTGTGTGTGTGTGTGTTCATGTGGAGGTCATAGGTCAATATCTGGTGTCGTCCTCAGTCACTCTCCACCTTATGTTTTGAGGCAAGGTCTCTCACTGACCCCGGAGCTTTCTAAGCAGGCCTGGCTGGCTAGTTAGTGAGAGCACCAGGGCTCACCCACCTCCCACGCCTCTGTGCAGGGTCTGCGCATTCTTATGCCCGGCTTTTTACACGGTGCTGGGAACAGATCTCAGTTTCTAATGCAGACACATAGGTGCCAACTGAGCCTGGGGCCTCTGCATTCCATCTGTGGTTGCCCTACCCTCTGGGCTTGAGACTTGAACTGGCAGACAGTGAAAGAGAGGGACAGCAGAGGGGCCTAAGATCCCAGCATGGGATCACCCCACTCCTAGAGAAGAACTAATCACTCAGCCACAGCTGGGGCAGCTGGGAAATGCAGTTCTAGCTCCTGCCTCAGGCATGCCTCCTTCCACCCCAGGAGGGGATTCCTCATTCTGTAAGAAATGGGTGGTTCCCCCCTGTAAGAAGTGGGGTGGTCCCACACACACACACTCTGTAAAAAGTAGGGTGCTCTGTCTCTGCCTCTAAGCATGTAAAGACCTGAGACCTCTCTCAGAAACCTGCATTGGGAGGGGTGAATTAAAAAAAAAAAAAAAATGTTGACCTTGGAATGAGAGAGGGAAGGGACTGGAAAAAGGCTCACCTGCTCAGGCTTTTTATTCAAGCTGTTTGCTCAGCTTTTCCCGAAGTTCCACAGGACCTCAGAAGGAGGCGGGGCGGGGAATCTTGTCTGGGAGGGGAATACCTTGAGGTTTACTGTGCGTTGTGCTGCTTCCAGCATTTGTATCTTCACAGTCGTCGTCCCCCCCCCCCAGCCCTGTGCCATCTGCTAATCTAATTACAATAGTCGTATCATTTCCCACCGATCTTACATCTGAATCTGCTGAGTCAGGGAAGCCAGGCTTAATTAGAAGCGTTAATCATGTGTGCTTAGTTTAGTCTTTTTTTTTTTTTTAATGGAAAGCAACCATCATCAGGATACTAATCCTGATCATGTCTCTCTAGGATAAGGCCACCATCAGAGATTCCTGAGAAGGCCAGAAGCCTGCCAGCCTGGGTAGCATCGTTTGGGCATGCAGGTCTAGCAGATTGCACATGAGGTGGCTGTCACCGTCCTGGCCGGAAGGCTCATGGTCCCTGCTCTGAAGAGTCTCACTTACCCCTTCATGTGCAGGCACAGGATTCCACTTGCATTTTAGAGGGAGCTCTTCACTCTCTGGTCAGAACCAGGGTTCACAGCATCCTCACATTTTGCAGACTTGGGTCCCCAAATCATCCCCATCTCTCCAGGTGTGTCCTTATGCAGAGTGGACGTCATCCTGCCTGGGGCAAGTCAGGGAGAATCGGCCTTTTGCCCATTCAGTGGGTGGGCTGCCATCTTTTTTGCTGAATAGTGTCTCTCTTCCCTCTGCAGAAACCCGTGCGGACCGCAGCAAGAAGCTCTTCCGGCATTACACAGTGGGCTCCTATGACAGCTTCGATGCCGCCAGGTAAGGCCCGCTTCCGCCTTCTGAGCAACTCCGGCCTGAGGAGTTCCTGCATGCCTGGGAGGGGGGTGCCTTCTGTGCGGCTCTAGGACACCTTTGCTTTGTTGTCCCTGCGTCACCTCTGCTGAGGTCATGGTGGGCCACCATTTTCAGAACCTGTCACAGACAGGGCCGGCATGCAACTGCCTGTGGAGGAGCCCCCGTGAGAGGGCAGCAGACTTTAAGGAGGAGGGAGGGATGGCATTGTTGAGAGAAAGCAATAGAGACGGGAAAGAGGGGCAGAGTTGGGGGCCGGAAGCACAGTGATGGCCATCCTCCCACAAGTACTTGGGCTATCCCGGCTCTGGGCTTCCACCTCACCTGTGTGTGTCCACATTCTTGTGGTGCCTCCTGCCAAGTGGAGTTTTGTTAAGGAAATCTTGCTCTTCTTAATAGGCAAGACCCCCAAGTAGGCAGATGTTCTAGGCTCACGGGTTGGGAGTTTGTGGAAAGCTGTGTGTTTCGCACACAGTATGGCCACAGGGTACGTGATGAACTCTTCCCACATAAACCATGCTTGGGCAACGACTGTTGCAAGATCTTCTGGGTCTCTGTGTCCTGTCTCCCTAAGTCTGGGTGGGGCCCGAACTGGGACAGTGGCTCCACCGGCAGGCCAAGGTTGACATACAGCTTTTCTGTTCAGGCCACTGTCCCTTTGCCTCAATCAGCTGCAATGGTTCTGAGCATCCTGGGTGTGACATTGTCTGGCCCTTTCTCTGTCACAAGCCACAGTTCCCTACACAGTTCTGATGCCACACTGAGACAGAGGTCTATGGGAATGCCTGGTCTGAGGCAGGTTCATCCTGGGTGTAGGGATCCGGGATGCATGTGTGACTTGGGAAGGGAAAAGTTGTACAGGTACATGACTGTCCCCCACAAGGACTCTTCTACCCAGCCAACCATGAAGCCAAGAGGCTGAGAGGCGATCAGGTAGATCCCATCTGAGGAGGGCCATCTCAGGAGGATCCAGCACCCTGCACGTGTCCCGCCTACTCTAGGGGATCTAGTGGTCAGTTTTTACCTGTTCCCATAACTTCTGTCTCTTGTTGAGGGTCCTACTGAGACTGTTGTTGAGACAAGAGTCCCTGGTGTGTGCTTTGCCATTTTGAGGTGCCGAGTTCAGCCTGGTGAGCACATTGACAAGAACCACCTCTGACTGGTTCTGAAACCTCTCTACTGCAAGGGAAATGTCCCCCCTACCTCCTCAGCAGCCATTCCCATGGATCCCTCCACATGGCTATTGGCAGCCCTTTGTCTTCCGTCTGTGGCTCAACCCACTGGAGTTTCATGTAAACCAACTGTTCATACAGATGCTGGGGTTTTCCCCGTTGGTGGATGCTTGGGTGATATCCGCCATGATGAACGCTGCGCCGTGGGCAATCCTGTCTGAATGTGTTTTCGGTTCTCTGAGTGGTGTGCCGAGGAACACAGCTGCTGTCTGATTTGGTATTAATGCTGACCTGTCCTCGACCACTCTCAAAAACAAGATGGTCTGGGCTGGAGGTGGTAGCACTTGCCTGTAATCCCAGCATTCTGGAGGCTGAGACAGGGGGCTGATGAGTTCAGCGCCAGCCTGTGCTACTTAGTGAGACAGTCTCAACAGGAAAGAGGGGAAAGAACGCCAACAGGAGTCCCATGCCCCGCCCCCATCCCTCTCCATTGTCTCCAGCCCTTTTTATTGTTTGTCACCATGGCTACTTGAAGGGCTGCCCAGGCACGGAGCAGCGGCCCCTGTGGGGGAAAAAAACGCTAAGCAGTGGCCACTCTCAGCTTGTGCCATTGATGGAGCATGTCTGGGGCACAGAGCCATGCACAGGTGGTCCTGAGTGTGCACATCTATGGGGTGGCCATGTAGGCACACTCTGTTCCTTAGGGCCACCTCCCCACAGAGCAGTGCTGGTACCTGACTTGGAAAGCAGAGAGGACAAGGTAGGGCTAGGGACAGGGCCCCACACCAGAGGCACATCACAAAACTAACATCAGGATCGGGCTCCGGTCAGCTGGCCGAAGCCCCGTGGGATTCACATAGCAATCCAACCACGGGAGATTGGGGCCAAACTGGGACCAACTAGCATCTTCTGAGCCAAGGGTAGAAGATTCTAGATTAACAGTTGGTTCAGACAAGCTGTGGGTATCCCTTGACCTGCTGTTTCAATAAAAGAAACAAGAATCACATCCATACTGTGTTCATCTGTCACCTCACCAGCACTAGCCACCATGCCCCGGTCACACCCTCTGCAGCCTTGTAAAGCAAGGTCATTCAGAAAAACACAGTAGAAAGACATGGAAACTGAGAAAGAGGCCAAGAGATGGAGTGAGTCCCCAGCTTCAGAAGCACTCAGCTGTGTGTGAGGCTGGATGCCTGGACCACCTGAGGTCAAGGTGGTTCTGCCCACAGTGGCCTGGGGTGAAGGGGCCTGTGAGGAACAGCTTTGGTGAAGATAGAATCCTTGCTGCCCAATGCGTCACTAGGAGGGAAAACACTGCTCCTGTGACTAACCAAAGACCACCAAGCTTGCTCATACAGATGAAGGCAATGGGAAGGGAGCTGGCTTTGACCACAGAAGGGACCTGCAAGGCAGGTAGAACCAGGAGTTTGTGGGTGGAGAGACAGAATGGTATCCCATGCATCAGAACTTCAACGGCCACGTGGGGAACATGGGGGGTGGGGAGCATTAGAAGGACAGGCTAGCCATCACTCATTTGATTGAGCAGGCAGAAACCATCTGGGGGTGGGGGGGATGGGCAGCCGCAGTGCAGTGCATTCATCAGCTCATTAGGAAGGGCCAAAAGCACAGCAGAAACCCAGCCACCACACCGCCCCACTGGCCAATTAGCCACTCTGGGCGGGGTGGCTGTGGTCTGTGCAAGCACCAACGGCTGAGGCTGCCTTGCTGCAGATGCTAATGTAATTAAAGAAAATGGGATGGGAAGGGAGGCTTAATGGAGACATTTTCTGAATCAGTTGAGAGCTTTCTCCCCTTCCCACCCCTTCATGTGTCATGTTAGCCCAGAGGCTCAGCGCTGACGAGATGAACAGTTAAAACAAACTCAGGCATCAGTACGTGTGTCCAGTTACTCCACCTGATTCCTGCCTCAGGATTCTCCTCCACCTGCAGGGGGAACATGAGAGGGATTTAGAAATAGACACGGCAGTCAGAATCAGACAGCCGAGGTCCTGGGGCCACCCCTGTGCAGGACTTTGCAGGTATCAGAGGGTCAGTGTTAAAGGTACATCTCAACATGAGGTGACAGCTGCAAGTCCTCATTCCTCATTAATCAGGTCCCAGCCTCATTAGCATAGGACACCAAGAGGAGATCCCTGGGTGGGCAGAGGAACCTTAGAGGTTGTTATACACTTAACAGGTTCCATTCATCCACCCATTTTTCCTACCACCCATCCACTCATGTATTCGTCTGTACATACATACATATACACACACCTATTCATCCATCCACTATTCATGCAGCTATCTACCCACCCACTTGTCCATCAGTCTAATGACCTGTTTGCTCATCCATCCATCTACCCATTCATCTATATAAACTTGCATCCATCCATCCATCCATCCATCCATCCATCTATTCATCCATCCATCTTCATTTCCATTCATCTATCCCTGCATCCACTCACCCTTCCACTCTTCCATCCCTCTATCTAACCATCCACTGAGTCATCATATTCTTCTACCTATGCACCCATCCATAAATCTGTCCACCCATCATTCATCTACCTGTCCATCCATCTGACCATACCTTCATCTGCCCATCCATCATCCATCCACCCATCTACTACCCATCTATCCCTCTATCTACCCATCCATCAACTCACCCATTCATTCATCCATTTATTCCAGCCCTCCAGCCCTTCATCAGTCCATCTTTCTATCCAACCATAACTAGTCATCATCCATCTACCCACCCAAATTCATCCCATCTACCCTACTTATCTCTCCATCTGTTTAACCAGTAGCTACCAAGACTTGTTATTCTGAGAGTTAAAGATTATGATGGCTCAGTGGATAAAACACTTGCCAGGTCATGTGAGGACTGGAGTTCTGATCCTCAGAATGCATGTAAAAAAAACAAAAAACAAAAAACAGGCTCCAGGGTTGCCTGTAATCCTAACACTCAGGAACGGAGATGGGATTCCCTGCAATAAGATGGCTCATAGATTAGGTAAAGCTGGAGGACTCTGGGCTCATCAAGAGACCCTGCCCCAATAAATAAATTGAGGGAGGCATCCAATGTCAACTTTGAGCCTCCACGTGTACATGTACACATACACGTTCACCCACACATACGTTCACCGACACACATATAAACATGCATATACATGCATACATACACATATAAATGCACACACACAAACAAAAAGATTTTGAGGTCAACAAGAGAAACAGTCTTAGATCTCCTGTAGATGGCGAAGGCAAACAATAAAGGCACTGAATACACCAGAGAGTTGCCCTGGGTGGTCAGTCAGTGCCACTGAGCAGACCACCATCCCCGAGCCCCAGAGGCCAGAGCACACCCCAAGCTGTGTGAGGCCAGAGCAAATGTCCCTGAGGACAAACTTGAGGTGACTCCCCAAGGCTGAAGGGGAGCCAGCCATCTAAACAGGACTCAGCAGCTGCAAAAACACAGAGGTGAATAGAGAATGCAAGATGGTGAGGAGCAAGGAACACACAGAGGATGATGGCCTAGGAGCCCCAGGCTTTGGGGGGTCATCATCACACTTAGTGGGGCATATGACCTGACCAACAGGAGACAAAGCAGAGGAAATAATGGAGACTGCCCTGTCATCTAGGCTGAGCACCAATTGTGTGCACTGGCAGAGGTGAGGACAGGGCAGGTGACATTGTAATGTACAGAGCCCTGGGTGTGAGTGAGGGAGAGCAAGGTGGATCCACTACCCACCCTCTCTGAGGTTTGCCAGGGAGGAGTTGAGGAGGCAGTAGGTGGGC